GTCCCTTCTACTCAGGCCATGTATGTTCTCTGTCTTTTATTCACTTAGCAACCATCTCCATTATCTGATGGAGAAGCTTAGTGTGTATTGGATTCATAGTATACATAGAGTTTAGGACACTCAACAACAACAAAAAATCTTGGGCAAAATGAGCCAAGTGACTTGATTATTATGATTATTGGTTATTATGTGGACTTGTTATAAAACTGATATTGGAGAGGCTGGGAAGAGGGCTCCATTGGCCAAGCACTGGCCAGGCAAGATGCTGAGCTGAGTCTCGGTGGTGCATGCCTGTAATCCCAACACTGAGACAGTAGAGGCAGAAGGTTCCACAGGACTGGCTGGCCAGGTGGCCAGGTGGTCGGGCTGAATGTTCAGCTCTCGATTCAGTGAGAGACAGACATTGTCTCAAGCAACAAGCAGGACAACAATAAAGGAAGGTCAACTTTAGGCCTCCATGTTCTCACACTTGTGCATAGTCATCTGCACACACACACACACACACACACACACACACACACACGCACACACGGACATATACACACTTATATCACACACACACACGCACACACACACACACACACACACACACACACACTTGGACATATACACACTTATATGACAGACACATGCACAAATTTCACCCTTAGTTCTGAAGAAGTCCTGTCATGGTACCCAGCCAAATGTATTACATTCTCCGAAGTGAAGTGCAATAAACCTTTCTTCAGTTTCCCTTTCCATAACTTCAGGTACTTGAAGTCTACCTCAGAAAACACTGAAGATAGATAGATAGATAGATAGATAGATAGATAGATAGATAGATAGATACATACATACATACATACATACATACATACATACATACATATATAAGATAGATGCATAAATAGATACATATATAAATACATAGATACAAAGATACATAGATACATAGATACAAAAATACATAGATAGATAAAAGAAACAACTCATGAGTTTGGGGAGCATGGTGAAATCTCACACAGTCCCACAGGGTCCCACAGGGTCCCACAGGGTCCCACAGGGTCCCACTGTATCACACTGGGGATGAGAGTTGCCTTTTTGTCTCAAATGTGCACACTGTGTGTGTCACCTGCCTGACAGTCATTTGGAAGCCATCTTGACTATCAAATCAAAAGTCAAGGCGTATAATGGGCTTTGACCACAAACAGGGTTTCACCATCCACTGGGAATCTTGGGTTACATCTCTACAGATAAAAGGGGGCGTCTCTAGTACAATAACCTCAGGAGAGATCTGGAGGCCCTGGCGCCCCGTGGCATTCTTGAAAACACAGCTTGTGTTTTCAGAGGAAGGCTGCAGTGAATTGATGTATTGCTGCAGCTGCTACACGAGCAGGTGAGGGCTGCAAATGGGGAACAAACAGAATAGTCAAAATGTGATTTTAATGGCTCTTAATGCTTTTGTATAATACGGTGATGGTTACCGAGAGCGCATTAAAAAATAAATGTCCATGCTTTCCTCGTCAAGTGTCATTTAAATCTCATTAGATGGATCTTTGTGAAATGGCACCGGCAATATGACTCCCTTCTAATTGTCCTGCGTTTTTGGCCACTGCAAAGGCCCTGGGGAAAACAGCATTTGTCGGATAGGGGTTCGCGAAGGGACTGCGGGTGAGCCAGAGACGCCGTAAGGCCCCTTTCTAACCCAGCTGAACAGTCAAAGTGAAATTTGATGGTGGCGATGATACGAGATGGTTTTGTTGCTGGTTGGTAAAGTTTCCTTTGCTCTTCAATTGCGATGTCAAGACGCTAGGCCAGCAGCCATTATTCCCTTTGTTATCTTAATATTCACTGTGCCGGGTAAGGTGCCCCGATACTGGGTATGTATAGAGAGCTGTTGTGTCCTCTAGACGGATTGATTCCTTTTTCACTACGTATTGACCTCTCTCTTGTAGCTAGAGTTTTCCTGCCTTGCCCACAGTCAGGACAAATCTTTGTCACCCTCCAGTCCCACAACCACTCAGACCCAACCAAGTAAACACAGAGACTTATATTGCTTACAAACTGTATGGCCGTGGCAGTCTTCTTACTAACTGTTCTTATAGCTTAAATTAATCCAGTTCCATAAATCTATACCTTGCCACATGGCTCGTGGATTACTTGCCAGCATCTTCACATGCTGCTTGTCCTGGTGGTGGCTGGCAGTGATTCCTTCCACCTTCCTATTCTTTCTCTTCTCCTCTCTGTTAGTCCCGCCTATACTTCCTGCCTGGCCACTGGCCAATCAGTGTTTTATTTATTGACCAATCACAGCAATTTGACATACAGACCATCCCACAACACTCTCTCGGTAGACTCATTCTCCCTGCTCCCTTGTGGTTCCCACTTGTCAGGCACTGGTTACCGCTCTCACGATGGTGACAAAATGCCCGAGAGAAGGGATTTTAAGGGAGGATTTGCTTTGTGTCACAGTTTGAGGGGATACAGATCGGCATGGTAGGGAGGACTTGCTCATATCTGGACAGGCTGGGGAGCACAGAGCTCATTAAAAAGGAGGCTGACCTATAACCCACCCCCACACCCTCAGTGACCCATCCCCTTTAGCTATATCCCTTCTAAGATTCTACAGCCTTCTAAAACACCACCACCATGTGGGGACCAAGTGTTCAAACACATCCCTTCCCATCCACCCCAAGGCACAGCATCCCTTCCCATCCACCCCAAGGCACAGCATCCCTTCCCATCCACCCCAAGGCACAGCATCCCTTCCCACCCACCACAAAGCACAGTATCCCTTCCCATCCACCACAAAGCACAGCATCCCTTCCCATCCACCCCAAGGCACAGCATCCCTTTCCATCCACCACAAAGCACAGCATCCCTTCCCATCCACCACAAAGCACAGTATCCCTTTCCATCCTTCATTATCAGCTCTACATGTCATAGAAGCTGAACAAGTCCTCCATTAGGAGAACGTGTCACTGAATCTTACTGTAGAATGCAAAAGGAGGGTGTGCACTTGATGGACATTTAGGCAAATAAAGGCAATTGAGTATAGTCTAAAGAACTGCTCGCCATAGCCTGGTGAGTGGCATTTTCTAATTTACTATTATTTAATCCTCGCAATTTGGATTTGAGTCTGAAACCTAAAAACTTGGCACAGGCATTTTAAAACAATGATTTTTTGAAAGGAAGTGAAATCGTCTGGAGAGACCTTCTGTAAAATCGTTCTGCCTAGCTTCTATCCCATCCCAATGCCTGACCAGAGTTCTCAGTTCCAGCAGGTTTTCTAGACAGAGCTGCGGCTCTAGGTCCCCACATCTTGTTATCATTTCTTTCCCAGGGTTTACCGTCCTTTGTTTCCCTGAATTCCCATTTCCTTCTGAGTTTCCTTATGCTGTAGAGCTCCTGGCTTCTAGGTCTCTCCATGTCATCATTTTCTAGCTCTCTGGGACTTTTTTGCTAAAAAATCTACTTTTTGATCATAGTACAAACAAAAATAAAACAGCAAAATGCATAATTGGTGTGATTCGTTAGAAAATACAGAGTTTTTTGATTCCTTATCAACTCCTAACTGAACTAAAAGCCTGTCCTGAAATCAGCTATTTTCTCGTTTCAACACTCAAGTGTCATAGTGAAGCAGGCGGTAGATGCACAGCCTGAAACTTGACATGAATGTGAAATCCATGCTGGTCAGAATTAGCAGGAACCCCTCAATGCTACAAAGACCAGAACTTGGAGGTTCTCTATTCCTGGGGTGGCAGCAGATTGGAGATACTAAAGGAAGCTCTGCCTCCCTGAAGGTTTTGCTTTTGTGCGTCCTTGGGAGCTAAGATCTGACCTTTGGTTTCTTTTAATATACATTAAATGGCTGTGTCACATCAAGCATACTGGACGGCTGCTGAGATTTTATTAGAAAGGGCGCGCGGTCTCGGGCCTGCGGCCCATGCTCATGTAGATCGTGTGTGTGTGTGTGTGTGTGTGTGTGTGTGTGTGTGTGTGTGTGCGCGCGCGTGTGCGCAAAGGATTCAAGGAAGGCCTTTACTAGCACTTTTGACTACAGTGGAACAAGCGCCCAGGGAAATGGAAACACACCGACTGAGCGTCCCAGCGGCTGAGGAGATCTTTGGCGGGGACCTTTCCCTGGGCTTTTTACTTCTATTTGGAGAAACTGAACTCCTGCCAGATGAACTTCTTTTCCCTGGCCTGATGTTTATCTAACAGCATGGTGGTTGTGAAATCCTCCACAGTTCACGAGGTCAGAGAACGACCTGGTTTACACGCTCCTCCCATGTCACTCCACAGACTCCCTCAGGGAGGATGCTCGCATGGGCAGCGGGTATATCCACCCCACCAACGGTCACCCAAAGGACCAGCCGGACTCTGGGGTGTGGCCTTCTCGGTTCTGGCTGCTCCGTAAGACTCGGGTCTCAGCATCCTTTTCCCCTCTGCACTCTGAGTTTGAAGTCATTCCAACAGGCTTGACCAATGAACATCTTCATGCGATGTATTGGGAATTAAAACCGTCGGTGAAACTGGATTTTTGTAATGCCTTCGTTCGTGAGAAAACGGACTGCTGCTTGTGTTTGTTTTTTTTTTTTAATCTTGAGTGAAAGAGTAAAGCAAGGTTGAATAAATAATCTCGGGCTTATCTTGGAAGGTTTAAAGGGTCCATTAAAAAGAGGGTTATGATTGTTATTATGTCTTTCTTCTCCTCCCTCAGCACCTAGTTCCTTGGTGCTTAAAAACGGTGTTTTTCCCTGGAGGACATCCAGCCTCTGTGCTCTGCCCTCCGTGGTTGGTTGTCATTCCGTGAACTGTGGCCCCACGGAGATAATCTGAGCAGACACAGCAAGCGCCCCGAGTGGCCTGGACATCCTGCGCGTCCTCCCTTCTGGGTAGGCTAACTGACACGAGACAACCCAGGAGAAGCTTTGCCTCGTCACGACTCTCGAGCGCACACCAGCAGAACTGGGTTGTGGCTGTCAGACTCACAATGTTCTTTTTCTTGTGTTTTTCAGAAATCGAGGCCAAGGAAGCATGTGACTGGCTGCGGGCTGCCGGGTTCCCGCAGTACGCTCAGCTGTACGAAGGTATGTGAACCTGCCCCTTCCTTCTTCAGGAAGAGAGGGAGCTCAGGACGAACCATGTGGACCCTGCCTGGTGCTTTCTGGGTCATTGCTCTGAGGCACTGTGCCTTTGCTTCCTTCCTCCCTCAGCCTTGGCAATCCTAAGCTCGTTCTGACACATCTGGAAATAAGATGGCTCTCTTCTCCCCCCTGAAGATGCCCAGCTCTTCAGCTTCTTTCCAGTGTCTGCCACAACACGCTTTGCCGATTAGCATGTTCTTCCTGGTTTTATCTTCATTGTGTTCAGTTGTCTTGAGATTGCAATGAATTTGCCGTTAGTAAGCTTCCTAGATCTCTCTAAACTAGTTGTTTGGGAATAGCCCTTCTTTATGCTTGTTTTACATTTTTAAAAAAAAATGTTATGGACCAGATGTCAGTCTTCTGAGTTTTTGGGTAAGTGGCTTTTCTTGCCAGCATTATACTTCTGGTTCTTGATTCTTTAATTAATAGTTAATAAACTTATTGTCTTAGTCACTTTTCTATTTCTGTGATGAAACACCATGACCAAGGCAACTTATAGAAGAAAAAAGTTTATTTGGGGCTTACAGTTTCCGAGGGTTAGAGTCCATGACCACCATGATGGGGAGGAAGCAAAGCAGCAGGCAGACACAGTGCTGGAGCAGTAGCTAAGACTCACATCTGATCCACAAGCAAGAGGCAGAAAGGGTAAATGCTGGGAATGACATGGGCTTCTGAAATCTCAAAGCCCACCCCTAGGGACGCCCCTCCTCCAACAAAGCCATATCCCCTAATGCTTCTCCAAGCTGTTCTACCAACTAGGGATCAAGTAATCTGACACGATGAGCCTATGGGACCATTCTCATTAACCACCATTTTCATTTATCCGTATCTTACTGATTTCTAAGATCATCATCAAATCTTCGATGTTTTGTAGATCGTCCTTATATATACATCATGAAGTAGTCAAGTCCAGTAGTAAGCAGATGGCACATGAGACCATCTATGGAAAATTAGAGCTACTGGTATTTATTACAAAACTGTAGATAAGATATACACAAAGAAGGAGCCAAGGGCTTATAGTTACTAGAGCTGTCACTACCACAGGGGGATGATGCCAGAGCCCAGAAAAGAAGAACCTCACACATATCCCTGGAGGGAGCACACAGTTGGCCATGGATCCCTGTAGCTAGAGTTTTCCTGCCTTGCCCACAGTCAGGACAAATCTTTGTCACCCGCCAGTCCCACAGCCGCTCAGATCCAACCAAGTAAACACAGAGACTTATATTGCTTACAAACTGTATGGCCGTGGCAGGCTTCTTGCTAACTGTTCTTATAGCTTAAATTAATCCATTTCCATAAATCTATACCTTCCACGTGGCTCGTGGATTACCAGTATCTTCACATGCTGCTTGTCCTGGCGGTGGCTGGCAGTGACTCCTTCAGCCTTCCTGTTCTTTTATTTCTCCTCTCTGTTAATCCCGCCTATACTTCCTGCCTAGCCATGGCCAATCAGTGTTTTATTTATTGACCAATCATAGCAACACATTTGCCATACAGAACATCCCACAGCAGATCCCTCCTTGCATTTCAACCATGGCTTCCCATTGACCCAACACAAAGGAAGGCAGTAGTGTGAGCCTCTTTGGATATTATCCACGCTCCCAATGGGTCTCAAAGCATCACAGCAAAGTAGGAGACAGCAGAGCAGGTCTGAGAGCTCAAAAGAGGGCACCTAGCACATGAACAAAGGCAGCTTCTCTTCCTGACGGCACAAATGTTGTGTAGGCTGGAAAGATCCAACATAATTTATCTTTATCTTAACTTATAGATGACTCCTGTCCTTTCATCCAAAATCACAATTTTATATTAAAAACCAAAAGGTTTTTTTCCTCTACTTTGTTCATTTAAATTCTGTGAGGACAAAGGAGAGTTAATGTTGGAATGTAGTTTGAAGCTTAGAATCTCTGATAAAAAAAAGTTTCCATGGGGTCCTACAGAGCCTTTTAGGAGAGAGAGA